CCTTCCTCTCTGTAAAAAATCAATAAAATATATATTTAAAAAAATAAAATAAAATAAAACCACGTCATGAAATGCTAGGCACTAACAATTCCTAGAGAGCCACGTGGCTGATTTCTTTGCGGGGCATCCCCTTAGTGGGTGCGTGGGGGAAATGCAGATGTCCCACAGCTCCCACTTCTGCGAGTTGGAAATCTAGGCCACTGCATAGGCAGCCTTGCCCGATGCCTTCGTGCTGCACCAAACATGAAAGCACTTTGCTTTCCTCCTCTTAATAAAAACTGCCATCTCACTTTGCTGTGCATCCAAACCTCATTTCATTGATAAGATCTACCAAGTTATAACGTTACAAAGAAGGCTGCTTCTATCAGGAAAGTCAGGGCGGTGTTTCCCTTTCTAGTATCACCAAGGTTGCACATTCCCATCGCTCCACGGTTTTGGTCAGTGACATGGCCTTACCCGCTCTCCAACAGCGCCGTCCCGGCCTGGAGTGCCGTCGTTGCCCGCCGGGCCCTATGACAGATCATATTGAAAAGGGATTAACTGGCTTTATGTCACTCCAGCCGCCAGACATGTTACAGCGGCCACACCTACTGCCCTGCCAGCAACTGCGACAGCGTTTATGGAACCCTCAGCAAGGGGAAAGCTGGGCCATCTTCTCTATCACTTTGAATTGCTTGAAAAATCAACATATTTTTACTTAATCTAAATTCTCCATTTCTATTTTTTTATTCTAACGAAGGGAAATATTCTCAAATCCTTTGAGATACATATATGATAAATTAAATTCTTGATATTTTGTTTACTTTGTATTACCAATGAATTGTCTTCCTTACTTTTACTTCTTAAGCTTATCCAAAAAATATCCGTCAAGTTCTTAAGTAAAATATTTAGACTACCAAATTACTTTTAAAAATAGATAGTCTTCTCTCCTTATTTTTTAATTTTTTTTCCAGAATAACGTTTCTACCATTTGATGAAAAACTTTGCTCTGAAAGGCACTGGCTGTTTGTGATTTATTCATCACAGCCTGAGTGCAGCCGGTTCCACCCGTAGTTCTCACACCTCCGCTCAAAGCCTGGTTCCCTCTCAAAGCCCAGGGGCCACGGCATCAATGACGTCACTTTACAGTGGTAGTTCGGAAAGTTATCTCCACTCGGTCCTGTCACAAGCTGAACAGTTATATTCATCCCATCACTGTGGAAAGTGGCAGTTGTGACAAATATGCTACTAACATGATGAAATAATAACAGGGGAAGGATGGATGAATGTGTCCTTTTACGTTCAAAACAATTTGGCAACAACCTAAACCAACTAAGAGGCTTGGTTCCAGAGGAGAGGAAGGTCAGCGCAAAGCCCTCACCCTACTATGATTCTGTGTGTCATCACTTTGTCAACCCTCTAGGCACGCCAAGCACATAACACACCATGCAAAGCCCTCACCCTACTATGATTCTGTGTGTCAACCCTCTAGGCACGCCAAGCACATAACACACCATCACTCAGAAACTTCCTCCAGGCAAAATGCACACACGCTTTCTAGATCGACATCTGAGTGAAAAAGCCGTCCCCATCCCATGACACCGACAACAGCCACTTTCTCGGTTCTCACCTCAGGTCCCGGCTCCCCGACAGGGCCGTTCGAGCCTGGGGGGCCCACGGGCCCGGGGGGCCCTTTGTCTCCAGTGGCACCCGTCGCGCCCACTTTTCCTGGTGTGCCCTGGAATAGGGTATAGATATGTCACCCACTTCCAAAGAAATGTAAGAATGCCAGTTCACACAAAGGTTGCATGCATCCAGCCCGGCCAGTGTGGCTCAGTGGTTGAGTGTTGACCTATGAACCAGGAGGTCACAGTTCGATTCCCAGTCAGGGCACATGGCTGGGGTGTGGGCTCGATCCCCAGTGGGGTACACGCAGGAGGCAGCCAATCAATGATGCTCATCATTGATGTTTCTATTTCTCTCTCCCTCTCCCTGCCTCTCTGAAATCAATTAAAACAAAACAAATAAACAAACAAAAAAGCCCTGGCCGGTGTGGCTCAGTGGATAGAATGCCGGCCTGCGGACTGAAGGGTCCCAGGTTCAATTCCAGTCAAGGGCAGATGCGTGGGTTGCAGGCTCCGTCCCCGGTGGGGGACATGCAGGAGGCAACCGATCAATGATTCTCTCTCATCATTGATGTTTCTATGTCTCTCTCCCTCTCCCTTCCTCTCTCTGAAATCAATACAAATATATTTTTTTTAAAAAAGAATGCCCGTTCCGACTTACTTCTGCGCTGTCTGCTCACTTTATTTCTATGCCCTGTCTTCCTGTTGAGATGTTACTCCCAGGTGTCTGGCTCACATCTGATAAAAGCATTCCTTTCTCCTTGTGTGTTGGTCTCAGATCTCTACCCACATGTGCCCCAGTTCCAAGGCCCAGCAGTTCCTTTCTCTGTCAACAACACTCCACATAAAAACATCACCTATTTTTTCTCACATATATAAACTCTGAGGGCAAACTTTCATGTCTTCAAAGCTAATAGTGAGCCAGGCTTTTGTCCACGCCCCAGCGAATATGAGATTCGTACACCCCCCGACCCCCCCTCGCCCCCTGGGAACGGGGATCACTTTCAGAGGCTTTCTTCCGAGTTCTCCCCACTGTCACGGCCAATATTACTTTAGCCCAACTCCTTCCTCGCCTTGCTGGTTCACGAGAGCAGCTCTGTGGACTGTGGACTGTGGGTGCTTCTGTCCGCATGTTTACTTAAGGAGAGGCTGCCTACTCACCAGGAGACCCCCTTCCCAGCTCCAGAGTTTTAATATTTGAAAAAGACTTAGAGTCACCCCAAATCCACATCCACATTTGTTTACTTCACTAGCCCCGAGGTCAAATAAATACACTTTTCAAAGACTTTCTAAAGTACTTAAACAAAGAATTTCACATGTAAGTCAAAAGCTTTTGAAGATACTCAGAATGTGTATCTAAAAAAGACTTTAAATCTATTCAGTAAAAATATATACAAATGATACTGCACAGAATCAGATAAAACGCCGACTGCGCAG